CAGAGGGTTGAGCGCAGTGCTGTGAAGCTGTCCGCAGCCTCTGCAGTGCAGGTTTGATCCCAGCCTGCTGGTGAGAATCCCACATGGTGCAGCAGACCTCTACTGTCTCGCCCACTGCTCCCCTCAGCAGTGTGTTTCTGTCATCTGCCTGTTCTGCTCCCCACTCTGTCTCTGGTGAATCCTCTCATCCTCCCCACACCTCTGGCCTATACCCCAGCTCTTGTATAAAAATAAATAAATCTTTAAAAAAAAAAGAATTAGTACTTCTAAATAAGTAATTGAACAATCAGAGGGTATTTTGCACATTAACATCATGAATCAACATTTCCATTTCCCGAGGCCTTTTCTCCAGGAATAGGCATTGCTGAGGTGGAAAGGGAGCCTGAGAGTCTTCCTTTGTGAACTTAATGGGTCATCTTTAAGCTTCTCCACTTCTGGCTAAAATCTGAATTAATAATACAGTACTGATCTTCAAAAAGGGGGAAATAATTGTATGGAAGAATGTGGGTTGTTAAATAACAGTTTTCTCATTCTAATTATATTGCACTTGCTTTTTACTGTCAGTTTAAGAGTTTTGTTGTACTTAAGTCTTTTGTTTTTATTAGTATCTATTTCAGATTCTTTTTTTTAAAAAGATTTATTTATTTATGCATACAAGAACTGGGATACAGGCCAGAGATGTGGGGGTGGGGGGGTGAGAGGATTCACCAGAGACAGAGTGGGGAACAGAACAGGCAGATTGACTGAAGTACACTGCTAGGGGAGCAGTGGGCGAGATAGGAGAGGTCTGCTGCGCGATGTGGGTTGCTCCCTGGCTAGCCAGGGGTCGAACTTGTGCTGCAGAGGCTGCAGATTGCTTCATAGTGCTGTGCTCAACCCCTTGAGCCACCAGGGAGGCCCCATTTCAGATTCTTGTAAAAAGTAGGTCATGTTATAAATAATAAACAGGATTTGGAGTAAGACTATATATCACTTATTCAAAAGGTCGTGAGAATGAAATTGTTCTTTATCTTTATTTTTTGGTCATTTGGTATTGCTTCTGGCAAAGGACCTGGTATATTGGACTGACATTGTACCTACAATTTTATGATCATGGTAATAGAGAAGCATTTGTGGACTTTAAAGTAATATTTCATCAAAATACGTAATTCATTATTATTATAATAATGCAGTATGTTTTTTTTCTCATAGAAATATGGGTAAAGCTAGACTACTAAAAATCTTCCAGAAGTTACTGTATACCTGATATGTAAATACCTGATATTATATACCTGATATGTAAATGATTGGTATGCTTATTCTAAGAAGGACTTAATGAGTGCTCTATTGATTCATATAATTTAGCAAGATGAAATAAATTAGAAACATGAAGAAAATAAAACAAAGCATGACAGGTCTGTGCCACAAAACAATCATATAATCTGGCTAGAGATGGGCCAAAATTTTAACCTTTAGCAGCTAAAACTCTGATAAACAAGTATTTGTGATGATAATACTAGAAAGATTTCTATTACCTATTGGATATTGTAGAGAAAGCACTTTGAAATAATCTTACTTCTTCATTGGTACAATTAACCATCATGTCATAATAACAAATTATAATGCATTTCAAATATTTACATGAATTTGTTAAGGAATTTTTCAGTCCATTAAAAAAACAGTTCACTATTTTCTCTTCCAGTTAGCCACAGAAGCAGCTTTGTGAGATGGAAGAAATTTCATTTGTTGTAACAACATCAAAATAAATATATTTTTTACTTTAAGGAGGGTATACACCAGATCTTTGTTTCTTTTATCTGGTATGCCTGGGTGTGCTGTGAACCTATGAGTTGCCATTTTGCCATTTAGAACAAAGGATTCCCTCTGGGCAAATCTAGCATCAGGGTTTGGATTCCCATCCCCTAAGTTTCCCCCAAGTTCCAGACCCCTGCCCCTTTTTTCTTATTCCAGGGCACCTCCATGCATTGCACATTCCAGACAAAAGTGAGTAGAGGTCATGAAAATAACCTGGATAAAAGAAGCAGTTAAGCAATTTCAGAAATTACTTTGTATTTTGCCTGGGGCTGTGCATCCTCACCAGCACCCACCTCCAGGGGGCGCAACCTGTAACAGTCTTTGGCTTCAGCCCTGGTTACATAAGTAGCCTCATATATTTACACCAAAATTTTATTACTTTGTTGGTTGTTTACATATCTATATAACTTCAGGCGTACAATTTCACACCTCGGTATGTACACAGCCTCACTCACCCTCCGTCAGTACTCTTGAGCCCACGACTTAGTCCTTTCCTTCCCCTACCCCCTCCTTCCTGCTCCCCATTCACTCTGGTAACCAGTTTATTTTTTCTTTTTCACGAAGTCTAAGAATTATTTTTGTTTTGTTGTGCTAGTGTGCACCCTTTGGTTATTTATATTCCACAAATAAGCGAAACCATCAGGATCTGTATTTTACTTTCTGATTGACTTCACTTAGCATAATCACCTCAAGATCTATTCATTTTGTTCCCAAGGGCATTATTTTATATTTTTTTTAATAGTTGAGTAGTATGCCATTGAGTATATATATTCCATGATTTCTATTTTTTTAAAAAGGAATCTTTTTTTTTTTTTAAGATTTATTTATTTATACAAGCACTGGGTACAGTCAGAAGCACGGGAGGGTGAGAGAATTCACCAGTGCGAGAGCAGGGAACAAAACAGGCAGAAGGACCGAAGTACACTGCTGAGGGGAGCAGCGGGCACAGGAGAGGTCTGCGCACCATGTGGGACCCTCACCGGCGGCCAGGGATCGAACCGGTGCTGCAGAGGCTGCGGGCAGCTTCGGAGCCCAGCTCTCAACCACTGCACCACCAGGGGAGGCCCTCCATGATTTCTATTTTTATATGTATTTTAAATTATTTTTATTTTTTATTTATTTCAATTATTTACAATGTTTGATTTTTCCCCTCAGATATAATCCCCATAAAATTCCCACCACCACATGAACTGTCCCCATAGTCTCTTGTATTCCACAGTTTCTTAATCCAGTCATCTGTCCTTGGGCATTTAGGTTGGCTCCATGACTTGAATAGTGTGGACAGTGCTGCTATGAACATAGGAGTGAATACATCTTTTCATAGTAGATTTTCATATTCTTTGGGTAAATGCCTAGCAGTGGTATTGCTGGATCATATTTTTAGTTTTTTAAGGTAGCACTATCCTGTTTTCCATAGAGGCTACACAAAATTACATTGCCCCCAATGATGGATGAAGTGTTCCCTTTTCTCTACACCCTTGCCAACATTTGTTCTTCCCATTCTTTTTGACTCAGGCCACTCTCACAGGTGTTAGGAATATTTTTTTTTGCATAAGAACTGGGGTGTAGGCCAGAGTTGCAAGGATATGAGGGGTGAGAGGATTCACCAGAGACAGAGAGGGGAGCAGAACAGGTAGATTGACTGAAATACACTGCTGAGGGGAGCAGCGGGCGAGACAGGAGAGGTCTGCTGCGCCATGTAGGTAGCTCCCTGGCCGGGGATTGAAATCAGGCCGTAGCAGTGATATCACTGAGGCTTAACCAGAAACATTTTTTTTAATGTCTGTCTTCCTTGAGGAAGTGTATGTTCAGATCTTTTGCCCTTTTATGGCCTGCGTTGTCTTTTTTTTTGTTGTTAAGCACTTTATATATTTTGGAAGTGAAAATTGCTTGTAAGGCATGTGATGGACAGATGTTGTCTCCCAGTCTTTAACTTGCCTTTTTGTTACTGTGAAGTTTTTGAGGTACAAAACTTTAGTTTGATGTAGTCCTACTTGTTTGTTTTTTGGTGATTGGTTTTCTTGCTGTTGGGGTTACATCCCCAAGTACATCACTGTGGTTGATATATCACCTATGTTTTAAGTATTTTATAGTTTCAGGTCTCTTATTCATATCTTTAATCCAGTTTTGTTTTTTTTTTTTAAGATTTATTTATTTATTTATACAAGAACTGGGTACAGTAAGAAGCGCAGGAGGGTGAGAAGATTCCCTAGAGCCAGAGCAGGGAACAGAACAGGCAGACTGACAAAATGCACTGCTGAGGGGAGCAGCAGGTGAGACAGGAGAGGTCAGCTGTGCCATGTGGGGCCCTCGCTGGCAGCCGGGGATCAAACTGTAGCTGCAGAGGCTGTGGGCAGCTTTGCAGCCCAGTGCTCAACCGCTGCACCACCAGGGGAGGCCCATCTTTAATCCAGTTTTAATTAATTTTGTGTATGGAGTAAAGTGTGGATCTACTTTCTTTTCTTTCTTTTTTTTTACTTTTTGGCATGAAGCTATTTCCCCAACACCATTTGTTGCAAAGCAAGAACAAGTAGACATATTGCTAAGATTTTGCAAAATGAATCAAGAAAGTGGGCCATGGCTTAAAATTATGGCTAATTCCACCCAAAAGCTGAAAAAGTGTATTAAAACCAACATTCACTTGTCACTAATAAAAGCCTTCACATATTGAAACTGATTGACCCGAAGATTGCACCACAAGTCTCTTATTAAACTCAAACAATAGTCTTAACTGGGTTTTTTTTTTGTGTGTGTGTGAATAAAGATCAGTTTGGCCCCGTCTAAGTGCTGAAGTCTAGTTAGGGTTTGTTTGAAAGTGTCAACCCATAAGTAATTGTTAGACTTATCCAAGCCACCTTGACCAACAGACATTAAAGGATGAGTGAGAAAAATGGAAGCAACTTAGAGAAAAATGTTAAGCAACTTAGAATGGGGAATATATTTGCATGAGAGATTGCTACACCCTTGATGCTTTGCAGCATATAAATTATATGAGTCTCTGCACCAATTACTTCATTTAAGATCTCAGAATTTGCCATGGCTTCAGCGCACAAAGTACAGTATCTATAAGCATATTGAAGTCTTCACTTTTGGTGATGATTATTCCCTTTGGGTATGAAAACAAGTTGATGCCCAGGTTGAACAGTCTCCAGTGCCTGCCATGGCAGCTGACCACTCTCTCTTTCCTGTCCTCCACTGTCTTGCAGACCAGATGATGTGCTCCTGCATCGCACGCATGATGAGATTGTCCTCCTGCATTGCTTCCTCTGGCCCCTGGTGACATTTGTGGTGGGTGTCCTCATTGTGGTCCTGACCATCTGTGCCAAGAGCCTGGCAGTCAAGGCAGAAGCCATGAAGAAGCGCAAGTTTACTTGAAGGAGAGTAGACTTGCGGAAAGCAAAGCACAGAAGCTGGCCTCCCTGGCGCACATCTACCTGCAGAGCCTGTTTCCTGGCGCAGGAGATGGAAGGGGCTCTGAGAGCTCTCTGAGAGGCTTTCTCTCAATGGCAGCAGAAACAGGCACAGCTGGAAGACTGGAAGCTCATAGACTGTGTTCCTTGTATCGTAGCAATGGCAAAAGGGTCAAGCTCTTAGCTGAATGGAGTAACTGTTTCAGAAAATCCTATAAGAAGTAAATTTTCTTTGAAAAGTAACAGTATATACTTGTACAGTGTAGTATACAAACCATTATGATTTATGCTACTTAAAAATATTAAAATAGAGTGGTGTGTGTTCTTTTCTATTTCCTTTTTTATGCTTAGAACACCAGGGTTTTAAAAAGGGGTCTTCTGGGTTTTATTTGATCCAGATCGATTAAACTTTTACTTAGAGACAAGGATTCCTAGACAAGTTTTGACCTCACTACAGAATCTCCAGTTTCCATTATTAGGGTATCTTCTGACTCCTGCTGAAAAATGAAGACTCAGCCATTAACTCAGACTCCAGTCTCCTCTTGTGACTCTTCGCCAGGGGACCCTCAGAGATTGGGGAGTCATGTCCTCTGACACTTGCCTCTGCCTAGCCATTATTTTTCACCAGATTACTTCTTAAGAGAGGGAGATGATTCTGAACAAGGCCTGTCCTAGTTCTAAGGAGCGCTGTGCAGCTCCATGCGTCTGTTTGTGTGATTCTGAATGGATTTTCTCTCTATGCTATAGAATGTACGTGATGTGAAGGACACTTTTTAGCTGTGCGAAATACTGTTCTCATTTTTTTTTTAGATCAGAAAAGAATATTCAAAGTCAGTTCAGACATTTTGTTTTTATTCCCCTTCTTGTTGCCTTGCTGTCTCGGTAGCACAGTAGAATGTTGCTGCAGTTGTTCCGTTTGTTGGGACAACCTAGAGAGGCAACCCAGCTTACATCCCTGCTGCTGCTGAGTTCTCTGTGCCTTTATCCCCAGTTCATTGAGGAGAACTACTTTATTGCATCTTTTCAGAAACTGAAATTCCAAATATCGTTCAGAGGCATCGATCAACATCAGACCCAACCTACTTATTTGCCATATAGAATCAAACTTTCATTTTGATGAGATGTACATTTTTAGTGGAGAAACAGCTGATGACATACTATCAGCTTGCTCCTAATCCCCTTTAGACATGCTTCTAGTAGAATCAAGACAGGAATTTAAGGACAAGCTTCTCTCAGGGCTCTAAGGAAGGTACATATTAGTGAAATATTGATTTCCTGACTGTAGAGCACATACTACTGTCTGTTCCATGGTTGAGTTAGTCGTCATCGTCTTTGGAAGGACGTTGGATGAGTATGATCCTTTTTTTCTAAGTGGAGTGTTACAAGTTCCACTGTAAAAATGGCCTTGAACACACTGACATCCTTGGAGGCAGCAGCCGTGCCTTGACTTCAATCCCAGTGTTCTGTTGCAGCATCCACTTCTTCTGTTGTCTTAGCAACACAGTGAACCATTCTGAAGCACACAGAGTGATATAAAACCGGGAATCAGGAAAATCATCATCTTTGCATCAAGTTGCGAGAGATGAAGTCTCTTGCAAGGCTTTTATTCTAATCCGCTACTCTGTAGCTGATTACAGAGAATAGGTAAAAAGATAGTGCATGGGCATATATTATGTGTTGGAAAAAAGGAAAATTGACATATATTGAGCTGAGTTTTCAGTTATTAGTTTGCTGCTCATACATTTATATTAACCTAATGCCTGTATTTAGGCCCATGGAGAATACATGATTGTATTCTGTAGGTTGGCTTTGGAAAAGAGACGCACAATGAATTGATGAGATCATAAATAGTTTTGAATCATTCTTGCTCACAGCCAGTTGAATTTGAAATTCTTTCTTAATACTTGTTAAAGATAAAACTAGAAGAAACAGAGAACATTTTTAGAATCATAAAAGGTAAGCTCATCATCTTGGTATTTTAGATCTTTTTTTTTTTTTTTGGTATAATTGAGGAAATGGTCTAAAGTGCTGTAACATACACCCCAAAGTAGGATGGATCTAGAGAGGCTTTAGAGAGAAGTGCATTTCTTCCTCCTAGAGCAAGCCAGAAGTGGCTGAGTCCCAGGCAGGTAGCCCAGTGCTGTTTCACCAGGGGACTCAGGACTTGTCTGGCTTGTTTCTCTCATCACCAGGGGTCTTATCATTCCTTGGTCAAAGCTGGCTCCAAGAAGCACACTCACTTTGCGGCCTGTGAAAAGAGACGAAGTTGGGAGCAAGCACTTACCTCTTCAGGAAATTTCATCCATTTCTCTCCTGGTCCATTCCCGAGTGCTAACTTCATAATAATACCTAATGCCAGAGATGGCTGGGCCAAGTTTTCTCCAGGGAGGTAGATAGAGAGTAAAAAGGGAGGGAATGAAGGCTAGAGTAAAAAGTGAATGATGGCCAGGCAGCCATGGCCTGTACCATGATGAAAACTGATAGAGCAGGGATGGCGGAGGCCACTTGCCCAGGTAGAAAATGAGGTCCTGAGTCTGTTCTCTGGGAGAAACTCTCTGTCCCTTGTCCCCTGTGGTGCCAAGTTTGACTTCTAGGAAATTTTTGTTCATCAGACTCCATAGTCACATTTGAAACTTTTGGGGGCCTACTTACTTTTGCCAGCCCCTGCTTGCTGGTGCAGATTTGTAGACCTAGCTTGCCTTAGAGGTTGAGCAAACATAGGCTTTTATAGACCAGGATTATCGTTTACATGGCTGTGGTAGAAAACCAACTCTGTTTCTGATGTTTGCTAAGAGCTTTCGAGTTCCCCCATCGCTCATCCCCTTAGTGCTCCCACTTCTGGGCAAGCTGATCAGGAAGCCTGATGATGCCTCCTTTGGCACAGGTGGGAGGTTCAACCCACACAGGCCTGCAAACAGGGACCCTTCCCTTTGCCCTACAACCTCAGTCATTTTGGGATCTGCCAATCAAGTCATTTTTGGATCTGCCGGTAACTGACTTACTCTCCCCAAAAAGTTCTCATTATGTGAAGAATAAACTTTTTCTTTTTCATACCCTTTTGATGTGTTTGTGGTTATTAGTCTTAGCATTTGAACCAAATGTTGGATTAGGGGTCCCTCTGCAGGATACCCACAACATGGGTGGTAAAATTTCACCAAAAATAGGGTAAGTTTCTGGTCTATTTGCTTTTAGTTAGTTCATGCGAAGTAACCACAGCCAATGACTGCTTTATGATAGCTCTTATGGCAACAACATCTGATTTCTTAGTCTCTGAACTTGATCTAAATCTCCCTGCCTCCATTTAACAACAATCATCTGTCGCCTTCTGGAACAGCTAGTTTAGATGGCAATGCAACATCCTTTATCTGCTCTTTTCTGCTGAGCTGACTCCCAAACTAATTTTTTTTTTAAGATTTATTTATTTTTATACAAGAACCGGGGTACAGGCCAGATGAACGGGAGAGTGAGAGGATTTCCCAGAGACAGAGTGGGAAGCAGAACAGGCAGATCCACTGAAATACACTGCTGAGGGGAGCAACAGGCGAGACAGGAGAGGTCTGCCTTGTCATGTGGGATTCTCGCTGGCCTCCTGGGATCGAACCCGTGCTGCAGAAACTGTGGACAGCTTCACAGTGCGGTGCTCAACTGCCTGCACCACCAGGGAGGCCCCGAGGCCAAAACAAATTAATGGAGACTCCTGAACGAAGCTCTACGTAGTCATCTGCTGTTTGGGGTACGGAAGCAGTAGGGCACAGGACATAGGCACAGACCTTATAACAAGACTGTGCTACCTACTTGGGAGCTGGTTTACATTGCAACTATTTTTCAAAGTACCTTACTAGAAAACAGCAAAAATCAGCCAATACACATCAACATTTCTTTTGTCTAACTATTTCTTCCATAGCTATATATCTGCCTTCCATGTTGCTGCTAGTGACGGTTTTACCTAATGATGAGTTAAAGCATAACACGTTTCTCTTGTTTTCCATCCCCCCATGTCTGTCTCTTTACTTCTGTTGCCTGACCAACCATGTCAAAGCCACATATTTCAAATGTTTGCTATGCCAGTGACATCATGCATATTGCCTTTGTTTGAACAGGATCATCTATCCCCAGCTTTACCTGTGATCTCAGCTACTGCTGGCCGGATCTGTCATCCCTTCCCTTTACCTGTTCTGTGCGCTGAATGTATATTGTAATTGCTCTGATACATTCTTAGGGCTCATCTCAAGCCTAGTGATGAGAAGACAATGCAAAGACAGAATAAATACTGGAACAAAATATCACACACCACGGATGGGGAACCATTTACCTGAGTCAGATAATTTGTCTTCTGAAAAATTACTGAAATCTGTCAAAGCTTGTAACTTTTCTAGCATCACAGCGCTCCTGCTACATGCCCTCCATTCATGTACTCTGAACTCACAGGGCCTCACATCTGTGGCTGTGTCCCATGCCTTGGACCTGAATTCTTACCATGTTTACATCTCTGGTTCTTATTCATCAGGTTTGAGCTCAAATACTCACTTTTCCTAGAAGCCTTCCCTAACCAGCCTATGTTAGAAGAAGCTCCTTTCATCCTTTTCACCTTCATTCTGCATTCTTCCTTTGTAGTATTTATTGCTATTTTTCTTTGTTTCCTTGTCTATTATTTATCTTACCCCTTAAATGGTAAGATCCATGTAGATGGAACAATGTTAGATATTTTTCCTACTGTGAGCACAGTGCCTGATACATTTGCTAAATAAAATTCTATAGAGTGGATAAATGAGTGAATGTCCTCCAGATCTCTTCTGTCCATTGTACATGTTGTTTTCCATATTCTTTAAGGTACAAGTTACTTCTTCAGTCCAAACAGCAAAATCACTTCCTTCTCTGCAATTTGTACATACCTCTGTTATGTTAAGACCTTGCTTGTATTAAGATCTTTCCATGTATAGTATGGTTGTTAATCCATTGATTGTTCATTATTTCCCCATCTTGCAAGACAAAAAGTATATTTTATTGATCTTCTTATCCATAACGACAATGATAGTAATAATAATGACCCCCAACTAGCTCTCATTAAATGCTTTCTGTGCGTATCTAAGCTCTTTATGAAATATTCTAAATTCTTCATCAGAGCTGGGCAGATGCTTAACATAGTACCTGGGGCATAGTTAATCCCATAAAAATGTCAAAGAACAAAAAGACATATATTATAATTTTAGTCTTAAAACTAGCAGCTATAGGGCCTCCCCCGGTGACACAGTGGTTGAGCGCTGGGCTGCGAAGCTGCCCGCAGCCTCTGCAGCACCGGTTCAATCCCCTGTCGCTGGTGAGGGTCCCACATGGCGCGCAGACCTCTCCTGCTGCGCCCGCTGC